TATATATATATATATATATATATATATATATATATATATATATTTATATATATTTTTTTATGACCAGCTCTGCTGGTCTCACACGATCCTCTCCTCCGGAGACAGGACGGGCAGGCTCATCTTCCCAGCTCCGAGCTCAGCTGGTGACTCGCAGGCCGTAGCCAGACCCCGGCCGGGGTCTCGCAACGTCCTTCTGCGAGTCACCATCTCCAGCTTCGCAGTGACCAGCGGAGCTCTAAGCACACAAGGCTGGTATCCGGAACCCGAGCCTCCGGGTCGGCACATCGAAGGATCTTCCGCGGTGACCAGCGGAACTCGGAGTCGGGGAGATGACGCCCTGCCCGGCCTGGCGCTTGAGGCTCCGGGGGGAGGATCGGGGTACACTAGCAGAGCTCCATCCAGCTGGCTCTGAATTATGTCGTCGGCCACCAAGCACAAAAAACGCCAGCACGTCAGCATTAGACCAAGATGTCGTCAGTATTGTATTTAAAATCTTTAAAATAAGTCCAGCTGCTGCTCCTGTCTGAGAAATTGCAAATGGCGGATCATTGTTTTGAAAAGTTTCTGAAGGATCCGGTGACTCAGCCCCCGACTCTGCCCCCGACAGTGTTCTGACGTAACGTTTTAGTACCTCTTCGTTCGGGTTAGAACCACAGAGCCAAGGGTACTGAAAATAGTAACAGGTGCTAAGTACCGGTACTAATGGAAAAGCCTCAGAACCAGGCCAAGTGCGCACGCACGCACGCACACACACACACTTTTTTTGCACTGTTTGCACTACTGTTTGCAATTTTAGTGTTTAGCATATTCTTAGTTTATCTTAGATCCTTATTGTTTCTTTTTACATTTATATTTTGCCATTGTTGGATGTAACTGGGACCCTGTGTACACAAGTTTGTTCCACCTCATGTACCACATGTGATGCAAATGACAAAACCTATTTGAACTTGAACATTATTCTACACAAAAATAAGACCAAATAACTTCTGATGAAAACCTTAAAGTCAGGGGACTGTAAGTGTTTCCAATGTCAGATTGTTCTTTACCAAATTCTTTCCTGCTTTCCACTTCCCTAATGATATTGTAATAACGCCGATTTTTATATTAACGCCATTATCCAAAAAGTTAAATCTGGTCCTCTGGACATTCAATAAAACAAAACAAAGCAAAACAACAAAAAAAATGTAGAAAAGTCTTTCATTCGTTTAGTCTTTCATTCGAAAGACTTCCTCAGTCTGAGGTGCTGTATTCAGCTCAGTCTTATAAATAGCACCTTCTAAGAGTGGATCAACCAGTTTGCTGCTGACAACCAAAACCAGCTGCTCACATGATCAAGAAGGACCATCGGCCTAACAATGGATCATTAGCACACTGATGGCTGTTTACTATTCACAGAGGGCTGAGTGATACTAGCAATAACAGCATTGTAAGAGGGGGTCAGTTGAACCCAGAGGCCTCCACCCCTGTTTAATGATGGACGATTTCTTTTCACAAAGATGGCCTCATTTACTCCTCTCTCAAACCACCATTCCTCTCTATCCAGGATGTGAACATCTTCATCCCTGAACGAGTGACCGCTGGCCTGGAGATGGGTGTAGACCGCAGAGTCCTGGCCTGATGGTGTTGCTCTTCTGTGCTGGGCCAGAAGGTGCTATTTATAAGACTGAGCTAAATACAGCTCTTCAGACTGAGGAAGTCTTTCGGATGAAAGACGAAACGTTTCTACATTTTTTTGTTGTTTTGCTTTGTTTTTTTTGAATGTCCAGAGGACCAGATTTAACTTTTTTCGATTTTTCTACCTGGATTATTGAGCATGCATCAGGATGTTAACGCCATTAGTTTTTACAGAAATGTAGAAACACTCAAATGTCAATAAAGACCCAAGGCCCTCTTCTTCAAATAGTTAAAATAGCTTTATTTCCATGGCGTAGTCATTTAGACCAGTTCATAAAATAAAAAAGACAAATGAGGGCATTCTTGCATGAAACCTTTCTTCAACAAATTTCACTCATCTTCAGATTCTTTTACATATTTAATCAACCAATTTTGGCACTTTGCCACTCTCTCTACAGTCATCAGTTGTTCACCACACCACAACAGTTAAGGGTCTGCCAGTACCCACCCTCACTCAGCCCGGTTTATGGGACCACCTTGTTCATGGTTCCAAGTGAACTCCTCCGAGGTGACAATTTTGATGTAAGCAGATAGCAGCCATTCATTGGCCAATGGAGCTACATCACTGGATGCCCACCCAGCAGAACTGTAAACTACACCTGGACCTCCATTTCCTCTCCGAACATTGTAGATTATAGGTTCTAGTTTTTAGTTCTGTATGGAAGCTTCAAAAATAGTGTTGTGGTCTTATGACGAGGTCCAGACCTTTCTGTCTTTATTGGTGGGTCAGAGGATTCAGCACGAGCTGGACAGCCCTACATGAAACTGCCCACTTAGCATTAACGGTCCTGTCTACAGAGCAGAGAAACAAGTCACTGTGGCAAATCACCTACACCTGCAAACTCATAAATGGTAAATGGACTGTACTTATATAGCACCTTTGTATCTTGTCAAGATACTCAAAGCTCTTTACAACACAACTGGTGCCCTCATCCATTCATACAGCACTCTACTAGATCTATACAAAGAATAATCAGAGCTTTAGATCACATTCATACACTGAGGGGACACACATCAGAGGTAATGAGGGGTTGAGTCTTGCCGAGGGACACTTCAGCATGGGACTGCTGCTGGAATCAAACCCCCAACCCTTGCATTGGAGGGCAACTGCACTAACCACTCAGCCACAGCTGCCCAAAGCATAAGATGAGAACTGATTTGAATTGAACATATCAATGACAAAGCGGCTTTAAAGAGCACCCCCCCCCCCCCCCTCCGAGTCAAACACTCCTCCATAAGTAAGACTTTCCCAACTGTGATGGCCACATCTGCAGCCATACAGTCGGTAACCCCATGCACCAACATTTTTTCACTTTGAGCTTTAAAATGTATATATCCCACATATTGCAGCATATTTGTGTATAGGCTTTGTTTAGTTTTTTGTTTGACAATATTAAAACGCATTAGTTCTAATTGTAGCTTGCACATTTAGTTAGCTTTTGTATATTTGATTCTGTCAAACTGAATGTGTTCTCTCTATTTTGCCAGTGCTGTGGGAGAGTCCTTTGAACTGGGCAGAAACCATGGACTCTGACTGGCACACTCTAATCCCTGATTGATTGATTGATTGAGTGATACCATGCAGAGCTCCACCATGGGGGAAGACAATGAAGTTTATTTTATTCTAATTCTTGTATAAGTACTTTTGCTAACCTTATGTTTAGTTATTAGCTATTTAAATTAA